CCCTGTAAGAGGCAAATGTATATCAATATTAGACAGATGATCTTCGTAGCTGCTTTTACTATAGAATTAAAGGTAACAATTTTTTTCTTTATGCAGAGAAGTTGTAATTCTACAAGATGATTAAATTCTTTTTTAAATAAACTTACTTTTTAGAAAGTCTAAAGTGCTATATCAAAAATAGATTAGTGTTTTGAGCTTTGGATTTTAGTCCATCTTCGCACAAACTTTGAACATGTCTACATCTGAAAAAGATCAAATGATCTTCGTAATCAATTTTTACATATCTGATATTAGATATCAGATATAAAAACCATGATTTGCTATTTTTTCCAATAAAAAAAAAAAAATGGTTCATCATCTACTCAAGGTTCTTAAGAGTGCGTTTTCGTCAGAGCGACTTCGTCTACCAAACAAGTCACTAAACGAGACCAGGTAGACGTCATAAGAGTTTGCTTTGAGATATGTATAGTATTAACTCGTATGAATTGCAGTCTTCCTTATCCGCTTGCCTCAGACATATCCGTGGAGGATTACAACTCTTTCATCGAAAGTAAAGAAATAAGTGGATATAAATTTGAATATAATAACGGCACTGTATATATAATCGATATGTGCACAGATGTGCATGAAGCTGTTATTGAGGCACTGCGAGACTCTTTCCGTGCTCACTGCCCTACTACTACTTATGCTATTTATAATTCCCCAATACAAATTCGTGGTCAACCACGTGAGAGTTTACTTGATCTTTTACTTAATATATTTTTTTATTATTAATATTTCTTATGCTCTTTCTATAGTTCATAAATCACCAGCTGAAGACGGAGCTCACATTGCACCGGATCTCTCTGTCTTTCCACATCCAACTTATGTTCCAAAGCCTCCAGTCCCGCATCCTGGTCCGCCACCTAGTAACATACAGGTGCTGTTAATTGTCATATTCATTTTTGTGATATTAATACGTATGACTAATAGAAAATCCTTGAGACACTGATACACTAATGTGATATAGGGAAACCCCTATGCAAGAATAGTTTGTGAAGTAGCCGTGGCCCAAACTTCCTCCAACTTAAATGTCAAATGCAGGCTTTGGAAGTTACAATCGTATGTACGATCTATACTTGGTATTAAACTTTATAATATAATGAATACACACAACAATCCACAAGGAAAAAGAGATCGGGCAATGAAGGTATATCTCATTATTTCATTGTTATGTAATTATATTTATATATTTAGCTTTTAAGTATTAGGCTACACTTTGGCGGCAAGGTATTCCAAGACAGAAGGTAAAGTAGACTGAGAGAGAAATTTTTACCTTCCGCTTTTTTGATGCACAAAGTCCATAATTTATATAATAGTGGAAATTTGGTACTGTAAACAAAGACGGTTCCCCTACTGGTCTTACTGGCTGTCATGGCCCGAATGACCCAAACTATATAATTACAATCCCTGTTAGTGACGTATTTTATGATCCAGCAGTTCCTGCAATCGGATATACTCCATTACCTCCTCCTCCTGCAACATTGATGGCCGCTGTTTTTACAATCGACTTATATGGAATTCAGCAAATGGTTTTACTTAGTCAGGAAGAATAAAAATCAAAAGATCCATGTTTTGCTAACGGAATGATTTTTCTGTTTTCTGTAATCAGTGAAATAGGATAAATATGTAACAGATATGTAACACACGTGAATTCTGTTGCAAAATCAAAATTATAATATCTTTTGCCATACTTTATAAAGGATTTTATGATTCAATACTGTACGTAGGAGTTTTGATTCTTTAAAGCCGATTTCATCAAATAAGAAAGTTAATACCAATCTCTCAAGCTTTTGAAGCATCTCAAATGTTCATTTAGATTTATTAATATAAAGTGAACGATATATAATTGACTGAAAATGTTATATCGAATTCTTCCAGCAAAATTTATAAGTCGTGTAAAAAAGGTTACTGAATAACTTACATCACATTCACTATGCTACGTATTTGTTTTATGTATATTAAAAATGTTATCGATACGATTAATACTATGCAGATCATTGAACATGTTCACTGACAATTTTTACGTATACAGAAATCTCCGTTTTTCACATGACAGCAGAGGTCGGTTAGGAAACAATTTTTTTAAAACATCGGAGACTGACTCTGAAACTGAAAATATTGCTTCAAATTAGAGTTTCAATCCATAATCCATTTATCCATTTGTCTATCGGATATCCAAATCCGAATTTATCTGGATATCTATTTACTATTAATATTCGGATAATTATCCGGATATCTGTCGGATTATCCAGATAAATTTGGATATGGATGAATGGATGACAGATTTATCCGAATTGGAACTCTACTTCAAATAAAAAAAAAATATTCCTCTTTTGCACCGATGCTTTGAATATATGTCCTGTTAAATGAATTAATGATTGCGATCTTTAAATCGACCAACTAAAATAAACGAAGTCCTTTTCACAGTGAATACATTTTTGACGAGGAAGAGGCTTTTCACGAAGCATAATTATTTAAGAAATAAATATATATCGATATGGATCGCGTAATTTATTATCACAATGATTATCAGAATGTATTAAAGCATTTTTTTAAGATCGTGTTTTAATATGTAAAAAAACTCATAATGATAACGATAAGCAACTCATAATAATAATAATAATTCATTTGAATTTTGGTAACCGTTAAATTACTACGTATAACTTAGACACAGGGTCAAAGAATGATGTGAATTTTATCTTTTAGAGTGGGCCAAGGACAATATTTTTTGCGGCTAATACAGTAATATAGGTCCCCGCAATACAATAGAATCAAATTTCTTCATGTGGAATGTAAAATACCCGCGACGATTTTTACTTTATCTGTTATGAAAAATTACAGTTGAATACGTATCGCTATATAAAAAAAAAGATCATATTTTTAACCTAATCTTGGCCAATCAAAATGAACTTTTGCTATGCTTACGTATTTAAATTACGTACACGCAGTGTTGTACGTAGACAGCCCTTTGGACAAGATTTTGGACATTTTAGACATTTTGTACAAAAAAATAAAATGAATTTACTCAAAATTTTATTAAGATAACCTATTCAAATCTTTTAAGCAAAAATGTTTAGAATTAAACAAAGAGTATAATCATATAATTTTTATTTGTACGTATTACTAAAATATTTAAGGCTATAGACAGCTTGGACAATTTGGACATGTCCAAAAAAGCTTTGGACATACCAATGTACATCACTGCATAATACTGTATGTATCATTGAGATATACTATCTAGCACTACGTAGATGTCCATTCATTTTCGCAATTTTTTTTTTTTTATCGTGGCTTAAGAACTATTCGTGTTTTTGAAGAAGCAAGGTCTTATAGCGCTGTTTCTAGAGTAATATCTAATATGTCTTTAACTTGGACTTATCCCGTGACTAGACGTGACGAGTCTGTTGTCGAAGAACTGCACGGTTACAAAGTTGCCGACCCTTACAGGTGGTTGGAAAATCCCGACTCTGAAGAAACAAAGGTTAATGCAATTACTGAATTACGTCGACTATCCATAAGCGTTATAAATTTTGCTAACTCTCGACAGTTTTTTGTAATTAAAAGGCGTTCGTTGAGGCTCAAAATGCTCTTACGAACAAGTATTTGGAATCTTATCCTTTTCGCGAAAAGCTCCGTAATACGTAAGCTTATTTTTTTAAAATTTATATATATTTTGTTTCATTTCTGTTCGATTAAGTACTTTATCTAATTCAAATCTTGTTAGCCTAACTAAAATTTATGACTATGAGAAATATGGTTGTCCTTTCAAATATGGCAATAATTATTATTATTTTTATAATACTGGATTGCAACCTCAAAGGTATTAGCTAATTCTTGTTTTTTTTTTACGTCTAAGTTGATATGGATTATTAATATTATCATAATTTATAGCGTCTTATATCAATTGAAAAATTCTCTTAATTCTCCACGTGAAGAATTTTTCAATGCAAGTATTCCTACTATTTGATCATTATTATTATTTTTTTTTAATATTTCCTAATCATTCCTCTTATTTTAATTTATAGCCCAACACTCTTGAGGCAGATGGTACTGCTTCTCTTAATACCTATGCCTTTTCAAAATATGGCAAATACTTTGCTTACGGCATTTCTAAATCAGGTTCGCTTTATCTCATTAATTGCTTGATGTTTAGTACTTATTCATATTTTTAAATTGATTACCTGTTATTTCTAGGAAGTGATTGGGTCACTATGTATGTAAAAACGACTGAAAATGATCAATTGTTATTGGACGATGTGATTGAATGGATTAAATTCTCATCCGTCGATTGGATGCATGATGAAGCTGGCTTTTTATATAGTGTACTTTTAAATGATTTTATTCTATAATTATAATTTCCAATTTTTGTATTACTAATGTAATTTTTCGTCTTACAGAGATTCCCTGAACCCGGAAAAACAGATGATAAGGGCACTGAAACTGATGTGAATCTCGATTGTATGGTAATATAAACTTTCTAAAAATATATTTAATTATTTGATAAATTTAAACCTTTCTTAAAATACTTAATTAATTAATTATCTGTCCGCGATTTAAGGTTTATTATCATAAATTAGGCACTCCTCAATCCGATGATATATTAATCTATAAAGATCCGAGTAATCCTGAGTACTCTTATGAAGCCTCCGTTTCCACAGATGGTCGCTTTGTAATTCTCACAATTGGAAAAGATTGTGATCCTGTAAATAAATTATGGATTTTTGATTTAAAGAAAACTGATTATCGAATTGTTGGTATATATGAAAAAATATGTTTCATTTGTATAATATGGATTAAAATTTTATTTACTAATCCTATCACATATAAATCAGAAAATCTCGACTTTTTCAAAATTGTTGATAACTTTGATGCCGAATATATTTAGTATGCTAGATTCCAATTATATAATTATAATATATTCCATTATTTGACGCTTATTTTTTTATAGTCTTGCAAATGATGATATGATTTTTTATTTCAAGACTAATTTAAAAGCTCCCCGATATAAGATCGTAAAATATGATTTGGCTCGACCCGATGAAGTAAATTCTTTATTCTTATTATTGATTTATTTGATAATTTCTTATAATAAAAACTTTTAACATAATTAGGGGTTTATCGAAATAGTCTGCGAACATCCGACAGATGTTCTTTCTTTTGCATGCGTAATTGCAGAAACAAATCTTGTTCTAACATATATGCATGACGTGAAAGAAAAGATATCTATACATGCTTTATCTACTGGAAAACATATTAAAGATTTACCAGTTCCGATAGGATCGATAGATACAGTAAGAGGGAGGAAGGAAGATACAGAATGTTTTTTTAAGGTTGCCACCTATTTGAATCCTGGTGTCATTTATCGATATGACTTTATAAAAGAGGAGTTGAAAGAATATTGGTCTACAAAAATTACTGGATTGAACAGTGATTTATTAGAAACAAAGCAAGTCTTCATTGAAAGCAAGGATAAGACTAAAATTCCTGCTTTTATTACTTTACCAAAGGTCTGATTATTTATCTTGATTTCTTTTATCAATTATTTTATTGAAAATTATCTAATTATTTGTAAATAACAGAATATCACTCTTGACGGTAATAACCCTACTTTATTATATGGATACGGTGGATTTAGTATCAGTTTAACTCCAACGTTTTCCCCTTTCTGGCTGACCTTTGTTCAGCATTATAATGGCATCCTTGTTGTACCTAATCTTCGTGGCGGTGGTGAATACGGTGAAGAATGGCATAAAGCAGGAATGCTTCATAATAAACAAAATGTTTTCGATGATTGTCAGGTTCGTCAATAAATTTTTTTTTTTTTTTTTTAAAAAGGTATTAAATATTAAAATTAATATTTCTCATATTTAAAGTACGTTGCTAAATGGTTGATAGATAATAAATATACACGTCCTGAAAAATTGGTTGTAAACGGTGGCTCTAATGGTGGTTTACTAGTTGGTGCATGCATAAACCAGGTAATTCTACCTCTTGAATATTAATTTAATCATTCCATGTAGATATTGAACGTGTTTTTTAGGTTATTGCACTATAAAAATCTACAAACATATTTTTATCATTTTAGATTACTTAAATTTTTTTTTTTTTATTTTTTATTTTTTTTTTTTTATTTTTTTTTTTTTTTTTTTTTTTTTTTTTTTTTTTTTTTTTTTTTTTTTTTTTTTTTTTTTTT